TTGGGAAAAAGGTGGTCTTCCTGGTCCAATTCCTGAGAAAGCCCACCATTCCTAGGTTTCCGTAACCTAAGATGGCATCACGAGACCCTATAAATAAGGAGATGTTCCCCATGGGAAAACATTCAGAAATATTCACAAAAATAGAGCAATCATTAATTGCAGATTTTTACTCATGATCTCGGAATCCGAGAAGATACTTTACTTTCTGCACTTTTTACATCATCCGAACACGTTCTAACTTGATTATTGGAGGCAGAATTCTACCAAACCGGAGTCTTCGCTGTTTTGCAGGTACAGACGCTTGGAATCCAGTCTTGGTGATGTAACTCTCTCGAGGGACAAGGAAAACCCATAAACATTTGGCGCCGTCAGTGGGGAGAGTACTTCTAAGATGGCTTCACATGAGTCTGTACCAATGAGAAACGGCCTACGGCCGACTTTGAGGTCTATACAGACCAAGACAATGGTGAAGACATCGATGTCGAAACCTATGTGGCCCCAAACGGGTCATTCAGAACCAGGCGCACCCGTCCCATGGAAACAAGGGGACGGGGCGCAGATCAAGCTGGTCCAGGCGAGCCAATCGGACAGTCGTCTGGACAACACCAGGCGGCAGAAGGCGCAACCCCAGTTACTAGAGATGAACTCATCAAATTCATGACAAGTTCAAAGAGGAAATCAAGGACCTAATCAACAAGAAGACGGCTGGCTCCAGCAGGAGTGAGTCGGCCAAGAAGAAAAAGCCAGTCAAGGACCGAGTGCCTACTCCGCTTCCCAAACCAAAGGATGAGAACCGACCCTTGATTGATCTGTCTAAGATCCGATTCCCTGAAACAGGGAAGAAGAAGGCCATCTGGCATGTTTAGCCAGATGGATCAAAGAAGACTTATTCTGACGCTCGGATGTTAATCCAGTAGAAGAAAAGTCAACAACTGTTTGAGTCGGCCTCAACCTCGACTTACCCAGACAGCTTTCAGGATACCTCAATGAGGTATTCGCAATCAAACCGAGAGGGCCAGTCAGGCGGTCTGTTTGTCCACTCAAGCCCTCAGATAATCCATTCGGCTCCGTATGTGCCTCAGCAGCCATACATGCCGTATGGACAACCATACATGCAGCCAGCCCTCTTTAGGGGTCAGGTGGCCCAGAATGCCTAACCTTTAGACTAGCAGCTTCGTCTGCTCAAACTTGGGGAACAAACTTCTGCGTTCTCCAAGGAGATAACCAAGGCGGCACAACCGGCCAAGGTTAAGAATGTGTTAGTAGATACTTATGATGGTACCACCAACCCAGAAGACCACCTAATGGCTTACATTAACCTCATGTACTTACAGGGGTTGGATGATGCCACCTGGTGCCGATGCTTCCCGACAACATTGAAGGGCATAGCCCAACGATGGTTTGGCAACCTGCCAACCGGATGCATTAATAGCTTCAAGAAGCTTGCGTACTTGTTTGCTTCCAACTTCTCTATGAACATTCCTGCTAAGAAAATAAGTCTGGACTTGGGTGCCATACAACAGGGAGATAGAGAAGGTCTAGGTCCTACGTCAGGCGGTTCAATCTTATGAGAATTCAGATTCAGGGCCTGTCTGACAAAGTGGCTTACACAGACTTCTTTAAAGGTCTGAAAGACATATCGACCTTTAAGTTCGATTTCGTCAGGAAGAGGGTTGTTATCCTCCTAGAAGCCCTGATGGAGGCGGAAGCCTATATACAGGCGACTGAGCTTTGTGCCATCAGTAAGCAGTCAGACCCTAAAAAGTCTGACAAAAAAGAGAGTCGATCTGCTTAGCCGACCAAAAAAGAAGAAAGCAAGAAGAGAAAAGAAGTCTGGTGGCAGATGACTCTAAGCAGCCATCCCAGAAAAAGAAGAAGGAAAAAGTGTTTAAATCGTATGTTCCCAAGTACGAGTTTAACAAGGACTGCTACTCCATCCTCATGGAGATCAAAGGCTGGGTACTATTGACAAACCGGCTGCAAAGAAGGGTTCCGTCAAAAATCGAAACAACAACAAATACTGTCATTTCCACGAGGACATAGGCCATGACACCAACGACTGTTATAGCCTCATACTGTTGTTGAACCGTCTGGCTGATAAAGTGGTGTTGAAGTCCTACATCTTGAAGTCTAAGGTGACCCTAAAAACAAACAATGGACAGCCGTCTAAAAAGGCATCCCAACTTGCTATTAGCTCAGACACTGATGAAGAGCCGATCTATACAATAGCAGGAGGCTTTTCTGGAGGGGGTCCAACCATCCGGGACACCAAGGACTACATCAGGCGGTTGGATATCAACTCAGTTGATGACGGCCAGACGTCAAAAGACACCTTTTCTGAGGTCATTATCACTGGAAAAGACAAGGGCAAGGTCAGGCGGTCTCATGATGACCCCATAGTCCTTGAATGTAAGGTGGCCAACCAAAGAGTAGGTCGGATCCTTATCGACACCGAGAGCTCGTCGGACCTTATCAGCTGCAAGTGCTTGGCAAAACTCAAGTACAAGCCTAGCAGTATGCATAAAGTTTATCTCCCCTTAGTTGGTTTTGGGGGTGGAGTAGTGCATCCGGTGGGGAGGATTGACCTACCCATCCGGATAGGGGAGAAGGGGGAAGGACGCCACATGATCGTCAAGTTCTTGGTTGTTGAAGAGTTGACTGCCTATAATTTGATATTGGGCCATCCAACCCTCAACGAATCCAAGGCTATTATACTCCCATCCCTCATGCCCCTAAAATTTGAGAAGGATGACGGGTCTATAGGCTCGCTGAATGGAGATCAGAAGACGGCGCGGGAGTGTTATCTCTCAGACGTCAAGCCTACTGTGGCCGCATCTGGCCAAGGCGAAGAGCCCATAGACCTTGATGAACTCAAGGAAACCGCGCCTACTCCAACAGCAGCCAGCAAAAAGAGGAAGGCGGACCAGTTGATGGCCGTAAAAAAAGATAATCAATAGCAATCACTGACCGGGAAATGGTCAGATGATCTCCGTCCCCAGCCGGCAGGTGAACATATTGACATCGTTTTAGACGATACACGTCCGGAGCGAACTGTTAAGGTTGGGACGGTTGCATTTGCAAAATTAGGTGCAGACTTGCACCATCTACTGAAAGAATTCAAGGACATTTTTGCCTTTGAAGTGGAAGTGATGCTAGGCATCAGCCCGGATCTCGTTGTCCACAAGCTCGCCATAGATCCAAAAAAGAAGCATGTTAGGCAAAAGAAAAGAAATCATGGCGAGGAGAGATCTCAAGCGGAAGCCACCGAGGTAAAGAAGTTGTTGGATGCCGGGTTCATCCGGCAATGTTACATCCCGGATTGGGTTGCAAATGTTGTTCTTGTAAGAAAGCCAAATGGTACCTGGCGCATGTGTGTTGACTACACAGACCTAAATAAGGCATGCCCGAAGGACAATTATCCCCTTCCTAAGATCGACAGTCTAGTCGACTTTACATCCAGTCATGCCTTAATGAGCTTTATGGACGCCTACTCAAGCTTTCATCAGATACCCTTGTGGAAAAAAGATCAAGAGAAGGCGGCATTCGTCACTGATCAAGGGTTATTCTGTTACACTGTGATGCCGTTTGGGCTGAAAAATGCGCCTACTACTTTCCAACAAATAATTAATACAGTCTTCATTAATCAGATTGGGAGGAATGTAGAGGCGTACATTGATGACATTTTTACTCCTGATCTCGAAAACCGAAAAGATACTTTACTTTCCGCACTTTTTACATTATCTGAACACGTTCTAACTTGATCATCGGAGGCGGAACTCTACCAAACCGGAGTCTCCGTTGTTTTGCAGGTATAGGCGCTCGAAATCCAGTTTTAGTATTGTAACTCTCCCGAGGGACACGGAAAACCCCGAAACAAAAGGAAAAATTTATTTGAAAAGTCTTTGCCTCTTAAATACTTTGTATTACACTATTACATATTGTACTTAAATCACAAGTCGGTCCTTCATACCGATGCTCCCGACAAAATATATTTACTCCATTTTTTTTTAGTTGACACATTTCTTTATCACATTTTCTAATACACAAATTTAACACGATGGAATAATATCTCTAAGCATAATCAAATAAAGGACGGAAAAACCTATAAACTACAGAGTAGTACTTGTTTTTCCAACTTATGGAAAACCTTTAAATATATGGTAGTGATGTTTCAAAAAAATATCTTCACGGTAATTTCTTCCTCTTTATTGCCTTTGACCTTATCACATAGCTTTCTTTTGCATCATTATTATTTGTCAGTGGTTCCTATTTGGCTATTTGCAACATAAGGATTAAGGATAGCATATATCGACAATATAAAAACTACATTGAAAGAAAGTATATATATGTGTGTCATGTGGCACTTTTCTTTCATGCAAGTATTTCAGTTTTAAATCTAACTTAACTATTATTAATACAACATCATTGTATAATGATTCAAAACAAAAGATAATACAAGTTGTAGAACATATTTTACAAAATATTTAGACAAATATGTAGTGACTAAGTGAGGTTTCCAACGATTTTATATTCCATAGTAATTACAAATAAGTATTATAGACATGTTTTCTTATTGTACCTCAATTCATCAATAATTTAGAATGAGTAATTTTTTTTCTCATTTTCAAACCTTAAAGAAATTTTTGTTTCATATATCAAACAATTACTTATCATGTAGATCATGACAAAAATATTTCCTGACTTGACAAAAAATAAAGAAAAATAATATTGTCTCAAACATTCATTCACTAGCTACATATTAAGATTATTTATTACTTATTAGGACTAATTAAGTAGACTACGTCCTTTTCAAACTATAGTACGTACTACTTTAGTTACAAGTCTTCGATCAAATTATTAATTAAAGTAAAAAACAAAAGTGGGGTTGGTATGTATGTAAGTATGTTACGTTAGTTGCATCATAAGAGTGTTGGTACCATTTCCTTGCAAATGCATGGACAATTTCGTTTGTATTATCACTCCTTCCAATTAAAATCCCAACATTTCACCTTTTTCCATCCACATTTTCTATAAATATCCTCATATTATTTCACACACCCAACTCAAACTACATTATTATCCATCTCTTTTCCACTCTCTTACTTGTACTAGTCCTTAGTAATACTCCACACTACATTATTACAATATGGCACATTCCATAGGTGGAACAAAAACATCCTTGATGTTTAACGTTACAAGGCGAGCCCCGGAGCTAATCGCTCCGGCTAGGCCCACCCCATATGAGTTCAAGGAACTCTCGGATATTGATGACCAAGACGGCCTCCGGTTCCAAATTCCGGTAATTCTATTTTACCGGAATGAGGAAAAACACTCTGGTCGGGACCCGGCCAGAGTGATCAAGGAGGCCGTCGCAAAGGCCTTAGTGTTGTATTACCCGTTTGCGGGGCGGCTTAGGGAGAAAGCCGGGAGGAAATTGGTAGTAGAGTGTAATGGAGAAGGGATCATGTTTATTGAGGCTGATGCTGATGTTAGTCTTGAGGATTTTGGTGATGCACTTCAACCGCCTTTTCCTCGTTTGGAAGAGTTGGTTTTTGATGTTCCTGGTTCTACTGATGTCTTAGGTACTCCTTTGATTCTCATCCAGGTAATTCAACATTTCGTTTTTAGTATGATATATTTTTCAAAGTATATTAATTTTTTGGTTTATTAAGATTATGAGCTTGATTTCTTACCGTTTTTTTTAGTTGACTCACTTTTCTTTCACGTATTCAATGCAAATTTTGAATAGTTAAAGTTACAAAAAAATTGTGTTATAAAAGTAAAATACTGAGATTATATTCTAATAAGTTTCAATTAACTTAGAAGTATAAAGTAGTTCGTGTATATATATATAATTATACTGAAATTGTTAAAATATGTTAATTAAATGCGGAATTGTTTAATATATGTAACGTTGTACCATTTGATTTTTTCATAATTCAAGGTTTCTCAATTCTCAAATATGTTTTGAAATGTTAATATTTTCAATTCCGTGTAAAATTATAAAAAGTTGGTATTTATAGACATTGAAAAGATATTAACATAATTTCACATGTATGTTATATTATTTCTAATGTGTTAACGGGAATTTGTGATCTAAGTTTTTAAGCCCTTAGAATGTTAAAAATGGGCAATATTTAAGAAATAGAGATTTGTAAAATAAACCTTTATAATGGTCAATTCACTCTTACATCCTCATCTGTATCACAGTCATATCAATTTTATCTCTTTTCAACTTTACTCGACAAGAAATAAAACATACAGATTAACATCTTTCGTTACTGCTTTACAGGGTTCTGGCTATTTTCAGTTTAGCTAATTAATGCAAATATTTACTTTATTGTAAGATGATCAGATTTAACCAGAGCAAATTAGATCTTTAAAATTGATGAATATTTTTAATCTAGATGATTAGTAGTCACTAGTCAGTTTTAAAACTATACCAAATCAAATAAGATTGGTTATAAGTGAATTGCACTTAGTCTTACTGCAACATTAATCAATATGTGTGCAGTGGTCCTCAGAGGTAAAATATTGACCATGCATAGATTGACTGCAACATTAATAAATTTTCTGCATTCCTCTAAGACAATAATATACTTTAATAAATACGGAGTAATTACCAATAAGAGTTGGCTCAAATGATAAACAACTTGATGTCTCTTAAGAAAGATCTTGAGTTCGAGTCTCACTGAATGTAAAAAACTCTTATTGAGAGACTCACCCACCATATCCCGGTGTATAACCTGAGTTGGATCTAGAAGTAGTCAGAGCTTACCGGGGCAAATTCAAAAAAAAAAGAGTAATTGCTTATCTACTTGTCTGATTTGTACGGAGCAATGGAGCAGTAGTATTGAATTTATGACTCCCTGCGGCTATAAACCTACGAGTAACTTTTATAGGAATTAACGTTATTTACCAATACTTCCAATGTGGCCAACTACAAATTCAATGAGACCCAAAAAAAAAGTGTTATATACATACGTCCGTATTAGACATGATCGTATATTTCTTAGACTATTAACAAGAATTAGGTATTAAGTATGTGAATTAGGCGTCAATAATCAACATCATCTGAAGTCCTAACCCGATTTCTCTTCTTATCATTATCACAATATTAATGCACCTTACTTCCCCTCATTCACTAAAATCGCAACAAGTAATTAAGTACTCTGTAATTGCATGTTACATTATTTTTTGTACAAGAATAATGACAAAGTATCCCATGTGATTTACTGATTTATACAAATGAGAAAAGTGATGACCAATAATGGGCCAAATGTGGGTAAATCAACACAAGTTATAAAGATTACTTTGTACCAAAAAAGGAAGCCTTAGTAATTTTTTTGAATCATTCAAAATAGTTGTATAATTATCATTAATCAACATTTATGTGAGACATCACTTTCTTTTTGAATAGGTGACAAGACTCAAATGTGGTGGGTTCATATTAGCACTAAGACTGAACCACACAATGGCTGATGCTCCGGGCCTAGTTCAATTCATGAATGCAGTGGCTGAGCTCGCCCGTGGGGCCCAATCCCCGTCAATTAAGCCCGCATGGGAGCGCCACCATCTCTGCGCTCGTGATCCACCACGAGCAACCTGTGAGCACCGCGAGTATGAAGAGGTAGCCGACACTAAGGGTACCATTATTCCACTGGATGATATGGTTCACAAGTCCTTTTTCTTTGGTATGTTTCATACTTACCTCCTTTTATTAGTCCAATAGTAGACTAGTAATTAGAACATAAGATTCTCCTATCAAAATAAGTCTATCTCCATTGGTGAGACTCAACTTTGAGTATTAAAATACAAAATGAGTTGTTATTTACCTTCAATGGTGATACCTAACTCACTTCTCATTTTAGCAACCCGTGTAAAATCTAATTTCCCAATGGTGAGACTCTCTAAAGTATATTAACTGTAAGTTTTTTTTTTAAAAAAAAAAAACATCAAAACTTAAATAAATTACAAAATATATTATAATATTGATAAGGGCCCACACTTTTTGTCAAATGAGACTCAAAGTTGGGTATCTAAACTTAGTGACTTTCTTTTGGAGTTGCTAAGTTTAGATACCAATTTATTGGTATACTTTGTAAAAAATACTCTCTCTCTTCTAAAAAAAACTCTCTCAAGTCTCGTCATTGGAGATGGTCTAATAATTACAATTAATGTCAATTTGTTCAATTGAAAATTCAACAAGTATAGTTGTCATTCATAGTATCCCTAATTACTACTCCGTAACATGTTTTACCAATTACTCAATTAGTATCTTATCACCTAATTACAATGGGGTAAAAATTTAGGAACAGAGGAAGTAGTATACTTGGTATCAATTATTCCGTACATTTGTATAGGCCTAAGTACTAAACTAGCTTTACACGTAAAGGTATGTGAATGGAAAGAAATGTCTATAATACTAGATTATTATTGTGATAAACAATTGTACATTTGTACAAGCAATACCAACTATCATATCTAACTCGTACATCGACCTAGATTAGATTAGACCTTTTAAATTTTAACCATAATTCGCCTTATTTAATATACGATATTATTTTTCGTTAATAACTTTCTAAATTATTTCATTAACTAATCAGGGCCCACGGAGATAGCTGCTCTGAAGCGTTTCGTTCCACCACATGTAAAATCATCAACATTCGAAATTCTCACTGCATGTTTATGGAGATGCCGTACCATCGCCCTACAACCCGACCCGGAAGAAATCGTCCGAATAATGTGCATATTCAATGCCCGACCCTTACTCAACCCACCTCTCCCCTCGGGTTACTACGGCAACGCGTTCGCGTTCCCGGTAGCCATCTCCTCCGCAAGCAAACTGTCCAACAACCCAATAGGGTACGCCTTAGAGCTTGTTAAAAAGACCAAGGCTGCAGTGTCACATGAGTACATGCAATCACTTGCTGACCTTATGGTCCTCAAGGGTAGGCCCCACTTCACCGTGGTCCGAACTTTTGTGGTTTCGGACGTTACAAGGGCTGGGTTTGCGGATCTTGACTACGGGTGGGGCCTGCCCGCTTATGGTGGACCCGCTAAAGGTGGGGTCGGGGCGATACCCGGAGTTGCTAGTTTTTATATCCCATTTAAAAATGGGAAAGGAGAAAAGGGAATTGTGATACCACTTTGTTTGCCAAGTAATGCTATGGAGATTTTTGTTAAGGAGTTAAACGGGTTGTTGAGTGGTAATCCAGAGCATCCGATTGGTCGTTCCGGATCAACCACTTTTATTTCTTCTTCTTTGTGAGTGGTGGGTTCAAATGTAGTGGTATAACGATTATAAATTATGTACAATACGTATTCATGTAGTTTGATTTCTGCTAGTGTTCACTTTTTGTAATAAAATGTGTGGAATTGTGGAAAGAAATTTTGACTCATAAATAAAAATAAAATTGTGTGAATTGCTATTTTATTTTCTAGAAAAAATAAGTTTATCGATAATAAGTAGTAAAAATAAAGTTTACAAACATTGGTTGGTCTTATTGTGTTGGTGTGGTCTTTAACATTTATGCATTGTACTAGCTAAGGGTATGAATCTCATCAATAATCTAAATCGACGCGTAGTGATTGTACAGTCAAAATCAGGTACACGCTAACAATTTAAATGGTGTTCTTGTTAAGTCAAAATCAAGTACACGCCTACAATTTTAATTAAATGCTTGTTTATTCAACATCATCAATTACACGAGAGAGTTACATCAACAATGTCATAATGAAATTTTTCTTTGTTGGAAATGAAATTACTCTATACATGGATTAACATCTTAAGAGAGACGTCGTTTTTATAAGACGTGGAAAAATTATGTAGTATAACAAATACATCAATAGAGATGCATGTTACTTTGATTGAATTCACAAAGTTAAAAGCGCATTTATATAAATCTATCTAAACCACTATTTCCTTTTAAGACAATTTAATATTTCTACCAAATAACTCGCGTAATCATCTACCTTATTAGTTTTTCTTTAAAAAAAAAAAAAATTAATAAAAATCTACATACCTAGCTTATTAGTTTGACTCCGTATGTATATATATAGCACCTTATACGTTGATCTACAATTTCCTTACGGAGTATTTTAATTGTATGTAGCTCATTACTTTAGCTTAATTTCAATTCTATACGATCCTAAAAATAGCTTGTTCAGTCTTATGTTCTACAAAATGACAGAAAATAATTCAAAAGAAAAATATAATATTGACTTGAGAAGACTAATCCAAATGGAGTCTAAGCCACACTAGTAGTATTTTGAAAAATCAAAGCATTTTCAACAGCATATATAGTTTATATACCCAACACAAGAATTTCCATATACTAAATCCACATTTTCTTAGCACTTTCAATTCCATGTTTAATGTTGAGTGTACAGTAGTATGCATGTTTTATTTTTGTAGGTCAACAATCACAAGTAAACTATGGTTAATATGATTGGAGAGTCAACTTAAGACTGCTATATTATGCATCTCGATTGTGATTAAACTCCCTCTACTAGTTCTCATATACTTCCTTTGTTTTTTTTTTATAGTTGCAACAGTTTGATTTTTACACTATTCATATATTTCATTTTAACTAGCTTTGATAATTCGTTTTAATTTATACTATTTTTAATATCAAATATTTATAATTTTTGCGTATTAATGATTAAAGATATTAACAATTAAAATCATACATCGGCAAGCATAAAAAGAAAAGTGTTGCAACTAAAGAAAAGAGTAAGTATGTATGGTTCATCTCTGTTTCATCACTGCCGTTGATTTCACTCCTGATGATGTGATTTCACTCCTGCTGATCATAATCGTGTTGAATATGGGCCCACCTCAAAATTGGACGGTGAAGGGGAGATCCTGAAAATGGGCCCACCTCAAAATCGGACGGTGAAGGGGAGAGCCTGAAAAGGATGAATCGCATGAGATTCATCAACAAGTCAGATAATCATTTGACTTCTCCCAAGGTATTTCATAAAATTTCCTTGAGCCATTCATCATTTTGTTCCATTACTTAGCTGTGATATGAATGTATTTGTTTTAAGGACTTGTTTAATTGACATGGAAATTAAATTTTTATAGGAAATTATATTTTATGGGAAGTTATTTTTCTAATGAAATTCCTAGAAATTTCTTAAATTTGTTTGGTTGGCAATGTGAGAATTTAGAAATCCCATGAATTTTGATTGACCTAGGAGGGGCTAGGTAATTTACTTCCATTGTTTTGTGAGAAGTTGAAATTTACATGAATTTCCACTTTCCTCACTTTTGCTTTTTTGTGTCAACCAAACAACTCATCAATTTATTAAATCCCATGAATTTCCACTTCCCCCATTTTATGTTGTCAACCAAGCAAGGTCTTAAGTGACACGCTTCGGTTTGGCAATATGAAAGCTCATGCACAAATGAATTAGGATGTTCATTGAATGGTAAGATACTTAAATTAGGGATGTTATTAACTTAATACACTTGTAAATTAATTCAGATGACTTTTGATCAAAGGTCAACAAACAAGTCCAAATTAAAATTTAAGCTTATTTAATAAACATGCATGCTTGTGTAAACAACTTAATATTCAACATGTTTAAGCTCACAATATAACTTATTATTCATCATCTCGTCTAAGCTCACATACAACTTGCATTGCTTGTGATTGTTCATTGTTGATAATTTCGTTCATGATCTTTATTACTCATTCAATTAGCTTGAGTTGTAGAATATATATTAAAGAGATTTTTTATGACTTATATAGATTGTAGACTATGACATACGTCTAAATTCAATATATCTCACTTATCTATAAGCTCATTGAAATATATGATTGAGGTTGAATTTAAACGAATAACTCACAAGACAAGTTGGAACAACAAAAATACAAATGGGTCTAGCTCGAACAATTCAATTGAGCTTAGTTTAAATTTGAGTATTTCTTATCAAGGTTAGCGTGAACAAGTTAATACTCGGTTCAACTTGTTTACTTCTCATTTCTTAATGATACGTTTATATATTATACTTATACTTCCTAGATGGAATATGTTTATACCCAAAAACTAACTATATACACATATTTACTGTATATATGTAGCCAGTGTATGTAATGTATCCTTATTTCCGAAAAATTCATGCACAATATGCATATTATACAACAATTCTCAAGCATGTTGAATACTACTCCGTACGTAGTAATTTAGTTAAAAAGAATCAAACAAAAATAAGTCTACAAAATAGTCTTTTCCTAGTGTTTTGGCTAATTGTCATTATTGAGGTCCAAAAAATAGACTTTTCATGTTCAAATCTAATAATTAAGTGTTTTACTAGTCACGATTTTTTCATGTATTTGTGGTAGAACCTTCAAAGCACAATATTCTAAGAAGAAAGTTGTTACCACATGAGTGTGGCCTTTATGAAATGCATATAATCTTGAGCAAAAGTGAACTTGCACGTTATATGGACCATATGACTCCATGTCTCCAAATAAAATGGTGAAAAAATACATGCTGTGATGCTGACGAATATTATAAATAGAAAAAAAAAAAAAAAAGAATTTTTAAAAATGCCAAATATCCAATTCTTGCTCAACATAAAAAGAATAGTTGAACTGGATTAAGGGCCTTGGCCATGCAGTGTCGAATCCATGTGCTAGGGTTGATTAGGCTCTTGGCTAACTAGCTACATGTAGTCATGCAATATCTGGCCACAATTTTCAAATGGATGTTTCACGAATGAACCAAGCTAACATCTCAATCATGTCCTGTCATGCTTACGTGTTTAGATAAAATTCTCACTATATGTTATACTGTTCATATCATTGTCGTGTTTTTTCTACAAAAATGTGGATTGCACAAGGCCCTAAATTTGACCAGCTCAATTACGTGTCGTGAATGTTGTGCCTCAAGCTAGAGCAGCCCAATTCTGGCCATCATTACATGTATTTTGTACCCCCTTTATTTCCACCTTCAAACTAGAAGTACAAAATTGAGAAAACCTGAAGTGACTTATCAATTTTTAACAAAAGATAGCAATTGCTCTGTACTTTTTTTTCTTTCTATAATGGAAGTATTTACTAGAGTTTGTGCATATTTTAAGAGAAATGTGTGTAGTACTTGTCTACGAATTAACTAATGTGTGTTGATATTAGTGCAAAAGAGGTTAAAGGGAGGGATAAACGATAAATAAAGAAACTAATCAAGTGTTTAGAAATTCATACTCAAGAGTAGTTGATTTGCTCACCAAACTAGTAGTGAGTGTCACTACTCGTGATCTTAAAAGGTACGTATAAAATTCCAACTGAACAATTCTCATTTACTTGGGCTGAAATTTCCAACCCAACCCGTTTCAAGCTTGGGTTGGGTGACTTTCTCTCAACCCATATAGCAAATTTCAGACCATATTAAGTATCAAACCTTGTGACCTAATCCAACATTGTTTACCTGTTATTAGGCCATTATTTTGGTTTTAAATGGCAAAATCAACTCTAGATTTTTATTATTTTTTTATTTATTTTTTTTGGATTTATACTACGAATAATAAATTATTTTCCCATAAAATAAATTAAAAAGTCAAATATTCACTGATTGACCTGGGTTTTATGTGATTAAAGAAGACACATGGGCTGAGAGTGAGGAATAGCTCAAGTGGTTAGAGCTCCCCTCCCGCTTCTAGGTGATCTTGAGATCGATTCTCATCACCCGTCCTTGTGGATCTCTAAAAAAAAAAAAAAAAAAAAAAACTTGGGCTAACTTATTGGGCTAAAATTTGAACTGGCCTCCTGGGTAGTTGAATGGACTGCTTCGCATTATGATGCACGTGGGTATAAATTGTTGGGTTTTGATGTATTCTCTTGTTCCAAACCTTTAGAAAGAAAACTATAAACCAATCCAGACTATTTGAAATCAACGAGTTTTTATAAATGACTTTTGGTCCAAGATCATAGAATTGTGAACACCTATGTAAAATCGCGAAATACAGGGTACAATAGTTGTTCCGCTTTGACTAAACATGTTTGTCATTTGGCACGATCCTTTAAAGAATTAAAGTTAATACGAGTATTCTACTCAGAATAGTCCAATACTTTCTCGATTTTATTTTTTCTTTTGCTAGTCCATTTGACTTTTTACTCATGATCTAAGCAAAAAAAGTAGTCATGTTAAATTTTATCACTATCATTGCAATGAGTATAATTTAAGCCCAACTTCTTATAATTTTAACTTATGTTGATTAAATTTGACTGTTAATATAATGCATTGCCAATGATGTGTAAAATTGTTAATTAAACTAGTCGTCTATAATAAAATGAAGAATGTAACATATGACATCATTTTATTTGTTTTAAGCTAGATATGTTTAAAAACATAGTCTAAATAATCCATGCAATATACGGAGTAGTGTACAAATTAAAAGTGAGACAACTATATTTTG